CCCCACCTCGATGTCCCCCGCTCCCCGCACTTGTCCCCCCCGTCAGGAGGAAGCCTCAGTGGGCAAAGAAATTGGAGCTGGCAGATATTGACATCCGCTTATTAAATGTTAACGGCCTCATCCACGCGACAACACCAAAAAAGGATGCAATTTGGACTATGCTCAGGTGCCCAGAAACAAAAGCATGGCCAGACGCGATATGCATCCAGGAAACCCACCTACAAGATACGCCGCCGCACAACGCAAAGGCCAAAGCAATCTGGCCGTATATAATGTACACTGCGCCCGCTACGGACAGAGCGTCGGCTGGAGTTGCAATCTGGCTCCCGCCGTCCTCAAAGCTCACACAGCTGACTGTTGAGCACGATCGCTTGCATGGGAGATGGGTTTGCCTGAAACTGCAATATGAGGGGGAGATCTTTTACCTGGTCAGCGTGTATGCCCCCAATGACCCTATAGCAAGGACTGACTTCTGGCTCGACCTCTTTGACCTGCTGCCGGAAGACGCTCCTCTTATCCTCGCGGGAGATTTTAATACCACGCTTGATCCAACAATGGACCGCAGATCCACGGCTAGACATCGTGACCCGGCCTCCCCAACGGTGACTGGCCCCGCCCCGGATACTTGCATACTCAAACAACTCCTGGCGGACAGACAATTAGAAGATGCATATAGACTGCTTCACCCCACCCAGAAGGCTTATACTTGTCTGTCGTCCAGAGGCGACCTCGGCTTAGCCATCTCACGAATTGATCTTATGTTGGTATCAAAAGACCTGATGGGCCTGGTCACAACGGTAGAAATAACGACAATAAGCCCTTGCAAGTCTTTTGACCATAGGATGATCACACTGGGTCTCTCCTTCCACACACACATTCAGCGAGGGTCGGGGTTTTACAAACTCAATGCCTCTTTGCTCTCCTTGTCCACATTCAAGGAATTGGTTAAAGATTTCTGGGTATATTGGCAGACACAGAAACCTGTTTCTGGGGAAAGGGTGAAGTGGTTTAATGAAGGGGTAGCGCAACTACGGGAAAGAGCGAAAAAAATCTCTATCCAGCACGCGAGAGACCGCAAGGCTTGTCTCGAAAGCCTCATGAGGGAACTTGAAGAATGGGATGAAGAACTCATGAATGACCCGCTGTGCCGCCCCTCGTTTGATAAGCTGCAAGACGCCCGCAACCACCTCCAGGCATACATCGAACAACAAGCGCAGGCCTGGAGGGGGCAGGCCAAGATTACAAAACAACACACAAATGGGACAATGGCAAAGACTTTCTTTGCAAAAGCCAGGGCTAGATCGAGAGCGGCCACGGTCCCCAGACTGAACCACCCCTTGGATACCGGCGCCTTACCAGCAACCAATGCATACGCAATCACGGACTATGCAGCAAAATACTATACGAGCCTGTTCACGTCCGAAACACCCGCCAAAAAACCCAGATTAAGTCCACCAAGCGAGGCAGTCACTCCTCCAGGCAGTTCACTCCTCCTTAATACAGCACCAAAAAGCCACGCTCGATGAGCCCATAACCTCGCAAGAGGTCTGGGATGCCTTACAAGACATGGAGGACGAGAAAACGTCGGGGATCGATTCCTTCCCGAAAGAATTTTGGGTCTCGTTTCCCTTCGAACCCTCGTGCATAATGAATGAGAATGGGGATTGCATGTTGGCGTGATCAGTAGAGTGTGTTGGCTTGTCGAATCTTATGGGTAGTCTGGAGCGCACCATCCGACGTGCCATATGGGCACCTGCAAGTGCGATCCGAATGGAGCCCGGCTTACATGTGTCCATACCACTCGGACTCGCCAATCGCGTCCTGGCTAACACCCGTAGTCAGCCCATCACTGAAGTAGGAGTCGACGTCAACCGGGATCAGGTTACCCATCACGCGTAAGTGCGCGTAAGTGCGACTTGTTCGCATCTCTCTTACGCACTTACGAGCGGTGATCTCCCCGATTAACTTATCCCCCAAGGCGTGAGTGATGAAAGAATGACGAGCTCGCGGAGTTCCGACGTACCTTGGAATTCCGAGGATTACGAGTCGTATTTCGGGTACCGGGAAATCTGGGAAGAAGAGCAACTCCGATTACGGGGAAATTTGAGAAACCCGGTGTTCCCCTGCCTTACGGAAAACGATAGATTTTGCGCTAGGGAATTCCATCTCGCCGTGCGAAGCGACCCACGGATACCCAACTACCCAAACACGTACAACACGCAGTATTTCATAACCCCCGGCTTCGTCCTTATCACCACTAATTTCCCGCCATACCACCTCCTCCTCCCCTATCATCAGCTTACACTAGTACCGTGGAATTCCATAGCGCACGCCCGGCGCGACTTCTTGATCAGAGTGGGATGGGGGCCTGGAAGTGCGAAGAGGGGTGTGCCAAGGATTTTTGGGAAAGTGGGGGTTGAAGTCCCAGGTCGGAACTGGGATCTTCTGTGGCCGAGTTCAGGGGCAGAGATGCAATAGAGCACTGGGAAAATTTACGGGCGCGGGCTTGCACGCTGGTTGTGCGGGGCCGTCCGATCCTGACGTGATCGCCAGTTCTGGGGAGCCTGTTGAGGCGGTCCTTGGGGCCCACGCCTTCGGGGTCCGCCACGTGGCGTGGGTTGGTGGGAACTATGCCAAGATGCCGAGGCTCCGGGGGTTCGGGCATGGGCACGTCGGCTGCAGCTTCTGCGCGGGGTGGAGGGCCAACTCAAGAAGGAAGGTCTTCGATCGCTTGGTGATGATGTAGTTGCGAAACGTAGAGTGACTTGATTACGAACTTGATTCGACACTTGATGTCCACTTAGTTAGGAACACGGTCACTGCACCCGGCATACTTGACTTCCAGGCGAGTTATCGTGCGCACTTCAAAGTATGAAAGGAAACAGTCTTGTTGCAAAAGCATGTAGACAAGTCTTCGAGTGCAATTACACCTTGACAAATGCAATTAAGCGCAAAACAAACAACACATGGAATAGGCGTCCCCAGCGCGTTTCAACAGCAGCCACGCCGTCATCTTCAGGGGGTTCGGACCGACTAGCATCGTTTAAAACGGTGTGTGGCGGTCTTTTCTCATTTAAAAATGCATAAACAATGCTATTTTTCATTTACACGAACGCAAAGAAAAGGACCCAAAAAAAAAAAAATCATGGGGCCTGACATACAGTACAGGCTGCGTATCCACACTTCCCTGTGCATCCACTGGTCGCGGTACATCTGCATGCAACCTTCCCGCTGGCCTGTTCGCAGTCAGCCTGTTCGCAAGGCGCGAAGCTTCAAGGCCCCCCTTCCCCCCCCGCCCACCACAAAGTGGCCAACTGAATGGCCAACAAAAGAAGTTAAAAACATTCTACTGGCCGATCAGCAGCTGCCTCCACGAAAACAAAGAGAGTCAACACTAGCAGTCCATACGCAAAATGGTCAACGACTGACCTTTCTCACGGACGGCCGCACGTGATCGAAAACCAAAGAGCACAAGCGTAAATCGGACATAGTCGCGGCTTCCCAGGCCGCTGACAAATGGCAAATGGGCACAGGAATAGTACATCTACGAATTTGGTAGATCCGTGTGACAGGCCTTTTCCCCTTTTCCCCTTTTTCTTCGGATTTTGGGAATACAGGTCCCCGTTTGAGTATACCCTCAGTCTGGACGTGTTTAGTGTTTTTTTTTTTTTTTTTGAGAAAACTACGGCGCAGTCAGGGTTACAGTGTGTAATTGCATTTGAAACTGCGTCTTAGCAGTTTAGTCAGGGCCCAAGTTTCAATTGCATTTGAAACTGCGTTTTAGCAGTTTGAAACTCGGGCTGGCTTTTTCTAGCAGTTCAGTCAGGCAC